GTGTGTGTGTGTAAAGATACAATGTGCATAAATAGATAGATGATTACCATGCCAATGTTAATTCCTGGGTCTCAAACGACAACGAATATGTATTTTTTTAATGTAAGGGTTAATGACAATAATGATGGCTTTGAAAGTTTGAAACATTGATGATGATGATGATTATGATGATGGTGTTGATGATGATGATGCTGCTAATGATGATGGTGCTGATGTTAACGATTGCGATGATGATGATGTTGATGATGGTGCTGATGATGATATAATGATGCCAATTTTAATATGGAAGCAAGACGATAATGTCGCCACAATAATATTAAAGATTATGATGATGATGACGTCAAAAAACATAAATTATGATAAAGATGATGATGATGATGTCTAGAAATATGATAAAATAACATATATATATATTCATATATAATATTCAAATTATAATAAATAATATAAATATAATAAAGTGATGATGTAGATAACGATCGATACCAAAGAATCATTTAATGAGGATGATGATAATTATACCAAAGAATTATTTAATGACGATGATAAAAACGATAGTGATGATGCCATAAAAAACGACTACAGCGTATTGAATAAAAGTTCATCAAATGTGAATATTTTTTGTCATTTTAAAAATGTCAAAAAGTCAAAAACTATTTCTCGGCAACATGCAATCTCAACGTGAACCCCATCTCTTATCTACATTCTACAATCATCTATGTTAAATAATTTTCAATTATTTTTTTTTTAATTTTTTTTCTTTAAATGAATTTTTTTCTTAAAAAAAAAGTTATTAAATGGTTGGTTTGCATTAAGAAAAGATTGATATATTTTAAATGCATACGTCTGTAACGTTGGCGTATTATTTTAAAACTGAGATCAATTAATTTCTTTCAGTAATTGATGAATGTTGCAGACGCAGGAGAAAAAATTTTTTTTCTCTAGCTTAAATGTATGTCGCTGGATTTTCTGCGGTTTTTGTCATTTTTTCTTGTTTCTATTTTTTTGCTTTTTAGTTGTTGAGTGGTTCTTTGTTGTTGAATTGTTGCTTTCGTTTGTTTTTCGTTTGTTTTTGTTTTGAGTTTTTTATTCAATTTTTGAATTCTTAGTTGTTCTAGACATTTTAAGTTAAATAATCTTGTGCTGTTTTGTTTATTTTTCATTTCCGTTTAATCACTTTTTTAAATTTTCCATTTTTAACGATCAAGCCGTTCATTTGTCCTACACTTTCAAATAACCATCCTTCCACTAATTCCCAATTATTGTGAATAAAAATAAATTGCATTTCGTGTTCTAAGATCGGTTGATGTCGTTAAATGTTGCTGATGTCGCCATTGTTGTTGTTGTTTGTAATAAATGTCGGCATCGTTGATGTGTTTTGTTGATGTCGTTATAGCTTAAATGTTGTTAATCACATGTTCTGCATGAACAACTTTGGTTTAGTATCCGTCTCCATGCGTCAGTATTTAGAACTGTGTGCATGCCTTTATTGGGTGTTCATTCAATCGTTCATTATTTCTTTCATTCAATCAATCTTTTTCATTCGTTCATTCAATCCTTTATTTATTCATTCATTCCTTCTTTCACTTGCTTTTCTTTTGTACGTCCATTTATTTACTCGTTTATTCATTTTAACAAAAAATTCATGGCAAATAAATGTAATAGTGCTGACCAATAAAAATTTAAAAAAAATTATCAAGTTTTGCCAACCAATCAATTGTAACTGTCTTTTAAATGAATTAATAATTACCAATTACCCCGTATTCGATTGAGTTAACACAAAACAAACAAACGTCTGACCTCTGATTATTACGGTCATAAAAATATTGAACTAATCTAAGCAGCTAATAATGGTAAGAATGATAAGAAGAGAAAAATGATAAAAAAGATGACAATGATAAAGACGATGACGATAGCAATGATGATGAGGACGATGATATATAGCGTGTCAACGCATCGTCATCGTCGTCATCATCGTCATCATCAGCGCAACACAGCAGACATTCGATCATCTTTTAATTCAATCCTCTGTCAGATTGTGCCAACATTTGCCACACACACAATCATAAACAGACATACACACACCCACAGACAAAAACACACACACACACACTTTCACACAGACACACACACATAGACACACACACAAACACAGACACACACAGAGACAGACAGACCACACATACATTCATTCACAAGCACAAACGCTTCACAGCACTACAAGCGAACTACATACAACAAACCAGTAGCAATGACAATATTGATTGCATCATTTGCTAATTCACTCACCACAACATTAAAATGAAAAACAACAACAACATATAACACAACGTGGAATTAGAACTAAATGACAGACTCCCTTTACACAGACCAAAAAACATCAACCCACGACAACACACACTTTCCATTCCATTCTTAATTCCGCATGGTGTGAAAACAAACAAATTCAAAAATGCATAACAGGATGTACAATATTTGCAAGTACGTAAATGTAAGTGTACACAGACGTACAAATGTAATCACATGTGTACAACACAAATGCATACAGTACACATAAGTATAAGTGCACACAAGTGTACAAAGTAAACGCAAGTGCAAAAGACATCAATCTAAGGAGCATATGTACATTAACGAGCTTTAAAAAATTCCAAATAAAATATTTTACACACAAAAATATCTTCCCTGTACAGTATTTTGTGCTGCGTGCATACAACATTCAATAAGTACATACGAGCCAGCACGACTATTTCTTTTATTTCGATACTGCTCAATCATTTTGATTGGCAGTTTGACTTGTATATATACATATATATATATATATATATATATATATATATATATATATATATATATATATATATATATGTGTGTGTGTGTGTGTGTGTGTGTGTGTGTGTGTGTGTGTGTGTGTGTGTGTGTGTGTGTGTGTATTATTATATTTTGTGTTTATTTAATTTTAGAAATGACATGCAAGCCTCAAATTTGAAATAAAAAGTTTTTGCTTTTGTGATGGAAATAATTAAATTTTCAAAAACTAGAAAAATAAATTTTTAATAGCAGTTGTATTTTTTTTATTCAAATCAAAAAACCAAATTTTTTGAATGCTCTTAAAAATTGTTGAAAGTTTTTCATCTATTTCCACATTATGCAGTCAAACCAATCAAACATTATTAAATCTCAAATATAAAGAATGGTAGGACTAACTAATCAACTGATTTGCTGATTGTATTTAAAAATTATAATAAAAAAATTTCAAAATAACATTGTTAATAATGTTAATTAATAAAAACAACAAGCTTAGTGGCAACGTTATTCAGACAATAAAAATGTTAGCGATATAAGTAGCGCATAAATCAGTAATGTTCGAAGCATCAGTAAGGTTGGTGAGTAATGCAATTGAACTATTAAGCGAACGATAGTTACAGCAGCTGACATTTGTGTTAATGCAACCTTAATAACATCTGTTGGCTTTTTATCGCATCAAGCAGTAAGAAGGTGAAATGTAAAATGCGAGATTGCCTTCTCACCAAGGAATTCACATTTTTTACTTATAAACCATTGCGTTCAAATAAAATGCGACATCCAATAAAGGCTGGTTGAACGGTTCTATTATTTTTTTATTTCTTTTCGAACAAATAAGAAAAGTTTTTTGAAAAGTTTTTGATTCATTTAAATTTTGTCTAGAATTTTTGCTAAAATTTAATTTTTATTAAACGTTGCTAAATTGCGATAATATTTCATGAAAAATATTAAAGATAGAGGAATAAAACAGTTGAAAAGTATAGCTTAAAATGAAATCCCTTCAAATTTTCAAAAGTGCTTCTGTTCAATAGTTAGAAGAGCAAAATAAAGAACGGAATGAAACAAATAAGTATTCGATCGTAAATTTAAAAAAATGTCAAAATTAAAAAAATAATATAGATTACCCAGGAATTATAATGAAGACTTGGCCTAAAATGTCATAACTCATATAAGAGTTACGAAAAGATTTGTTTGTCGTGTTTGCGCACATACATTCAACCATTTCAACATACATAAGAAACAGATGGCTAATGAAAATTTTTTAACGTAAAAACGTACATCACAGAACCACATAGTTCTATACAAAACTACACAGCCAAAACACAGTAGCACACAGAAAAAGCACAGATGCAACACAGCGCAAACACAGTTTAGAAACATCAGTGCAAACATACTTGTGACATATTACACGTAATGTGCTTTCAAATGCTAAAAGTAAACCTTTCCTGCAAAAAGGTACCGATGACATTGTTGACAATTGATTTAATTATACAACATGCCTGTCTGCTTGCTCGCATCATTCGGTATACGGTATATATTTTTCAGTTTTCCTAAAAAAATTTTTTTTTTACTTTTTAACAATAAAGCATTTTCATTTTTAACATTTAAAGAAGTCGACGTTTCGAAAACATTATTTATATTCGCAGTAGTTAATTTCAGAGAGTTGAAAATTTAGTTTCTGATTAGCGTGAACAAAACCCATTGAGATGAGCAAGGCATTAACATTTTAGGTCCCCGATTCAAACCATCCTATATTAGGAAGAAAGCACTCTTATTGTCAAACTTATTGTCACTATCCAATATCAAAGATAACGAAACACCGCCAATAAAATAAAGATAACATTGACCTTCGTGAAGCATTTACACACGGAAAGGTTTTGAATTTACAATTTTTTTCTTTATTTTTAAAGCTTGTTTTGCTAATTTTGAACGCATTGTCAACACAAGTTTATTTGGTTAATTATTAAATAAAACATTGTTTAGGTTGCAATTTTTAATTTATTTGCTAACATGGAACATTTAACTTCAATTAATGCTTTGTTAAATAATTTAAAATAGTTCTTAAGAGTTAAGAAACGTATTTAAATTAAATTCAATGGTAAAATAATTCTCAATGTGACCCACACTGTAGAAGATTTGCCCACTTCTGTTTTTTTGGAAGAATACATACGTTGATAAATGAATTAATGGTTCTAGTGTTAAGTGTGATCAGACTTCGTTTTAATTGTAGCTGTCACAAAGCCATTCCTGCCAACTTCATAATCCGTTTCGTGTGAGAATACTGCGAGGCCCCAAATATTCAAACGGCAGTAAGGGCAAGTCTTACTTCTCTTGAACCAGGTTCTGAAACAAGGTTCGTGAAATATATGGCTACATTGCATTTGTACCAACTTATCTCCTTCGTTGAACGTTACCAAACATATTGGGCACTCTTCTGCAGTGAATTTGCCCGAAATATAAAGTACGTGGTAATTTCTCTCCCAAAAAAATAACGAAGGATAGTTATCTGTATGCTTCACTACCGTATTCACGACAACGCCTTCGTCGGTACTACCAACCAGAGTTTCTTCGTAATATTTTGGGAGGTTTTTAGTCATCGTTGAGAAGTAAAAATTCTGCTAATCCAACATTATGTCGGACAACCGCTGCATAGTTATTGAAGGAATATAATTTTCTTTCAGAACATTGAAACCTGGTTTGTAGTAGACTTCCTCGAGTTTGTTAATCTCGTCACTTGATAAGTTATGTTTGTTGTTCTCCTCCACGAATTTTCTATACATACTACGTCTCAATTTGTCTTGAGTATCCATAAAATTTTTTGCCGTAATTAAAGCCGATTCTGTCAAGGTAGTTTTCGATGTCGGAATGTTTTACGCGTTCCATTTCATAACAATCAAATAAACAAGTATAATAAATTAAACGCGCACGTGTTCAAATAATCTGGAGTGGATTATAAACACGAGCAATTGCAGATGCTGAAATAATTTTAATTACCTTCAACAACCGAAAAAATTTTCGTATGGAAATTCTGGCAGAATTTCTTATTAACAACACGCTACAAATTAAATCTCGTTCTAGACAATTTTTACAACAGTGGAATTAATTCAAGGTTTATATAGAACGTGATCATGATTTTACGAGCGCAAAGTAACATTAAACCACAAAAGAGATTAAACTTAAAACAAAACACGTGATTATAAAGAAATTAAAAATAATAATAAATCAAATTTATCCTTGAATTTAATGGAAATAATGTTCTATCGTAAATATATTACATAATAACTCATGTTTCACATAGATATAGACGGTCAAAAATATGAGACAAAACGAACATTTCTGAAACATACTCACATCAACATTGGATTGATAGGGCTGTAGGGGAATAACAATAAATGCATGTGGCAGTTACTCGTGAAAACTACACAAACTTTACAGATGAACCTAGCTAGTGCGTAATGTGATCCGTCTGCTAGTAGTTAGATGCATGTAACAAATTTATCACAATTTTCGTTCACCTAACACTCATGATCATAATAGGATGTCATAATGTCCAAACGACCGTGAGGATAGGTCTTAACTTTGGTTGAGGAACATTTTTAAACACTATCTATGTTGAGCATGACGGCAATATACTTATATCACATTGCCATTATCTCAGTTTTATCATCTTATTATCATTAACCGCGTCCGCATACGAATATCCACCCAAGCCTTCACTTCGGCGGAGTCTTTCCTGTCCGGGATCCGCCATTTTACAATAGACCCTTTCAGGGTCTGAAAACACGGGCCGGGCGGAAGTTTGTTCGCGCCCTACTTGTTGACTAGAGACGCCGAACTCGTCAACTATCGGCAAGTCTTCTTCAACATATATTAATTTAGGTAAAAGAATTAAACCGAGCCAAATTTCAAGTTTACACTTCTTTTATTCAATAAAAACAAATATTAAAAATCAAACTTCTGTTTCTATAATTCAAAATTAACTACCCTAAATTATAACATTAATAACAGAAGATAATTTCAAGTGTTTGATTTAATCAGCACAATTAATCATTTTTCATATTCTGTCCTTCGGGACATCATTGGAGAATATAATGAGGTGGGAGAATGTTGGGATGCCATGTCAAACACCCAATCAAGGCCTTCGTAAGTTTCGCTAATTATCTTTCTCAATGAGTTATTGTGCCGGCTGTCGGCATTGTTCGTATTATGGTACAACAGTCACCAAATATTAACATCATCGCTGAATTTTTTTCCTGTTCCGACTAATCTATATTAGTTTTAATAGCATTCATCGCTGCATATGTATGTATATATATAAAAACATGCATGTACATACATTACATTGCAAATCACACTTTACTACACAACACACAAGGTTTACTGTTACGAACTGAGAAGTCAGTCAAACAGAAAGTGAAAAGTATGCAGGCGCATTCAAGTTTCTTCATAAAAACAGCTGATACGAGCGGCGTGCCAAACTAGATAGAAGATGCAATATTATTCAAGAAATATTTGCCGGCTTATCTGGAAATATGAAGCAGGCAGGCAAGCAGGCAGGCAGGCAGCAGGGCCAACATTGAGATAGGTCATTCCATGCACTGCACTGTATATTCATTCCATTGCACACCACCGTCGAACGCTCGATGTTTTCATAATGCGATTTATTTCTCTCTGGAGTTTGCAACATTCTTCGAGACCTGACTTTTTTTCTGCCCACTCTAATACAATGACTGCTGCTATTTTTGTTTCTGTCTCCTTTCTCTTATGTTTTACGACGGGATTGTGTGCAAGTGTTGTACGTGAACGTGTGAATGTGTTTGTGGGGAGTGGATGTGGTGTGGTTGTAGTTAGTGTTTTAATGTTGAGGGTGTGGTTATGTTTTGTGACAACACACCTGGGTTGTTTGTCGTTTATATTTATCTCGGCATTTAAGTTTGAATTTTTATTCCTTCATGAATTGGTTTGTGCAGGTCTATAATGATCTGCTGCGTTTTCGTAATGAGCAGCTAAGCTCTAATCTTTCTTTATGTGTGACTTGTTTGTGAGTTTTGCTGTTATTTGCGTGTAGTTAATATGCCATAACTTAATTCCCGAGTATGTGTTTGATGATATGCTTCTGTTTGGAGTGAGTTCTGAAAAAAATTTTTTGTGAGAGTAAGTATTTTTTGTGCATCATTTATTATTATTTGTACGTCGTCGTGTGTGCTTTAATTTTTATGTTCTTTACCTGACTTTAAATGCAATGCCTGGAAATGCTCTGTTTATTTACGTTGGGCGTTCATAAAACCGACTGAGGTGGAATATAACACACACACACAAACACACACACACACACACACACACACACACATATATATATATATATATATATATATATATATTTATAATAACATTGGCATATAAATATCCATATATGTTATATACAAATCACACGCACGCACACACTCTCACACATACACACGCATTGATACACACACGTACATACACAATTCACACAAACATGTATATTTATATGTATATATATATATATATATATATATATATATATATATATATATATATATATATATATATGCCATAAAATAACTTGAAAAAACCCTGACTAAGTTTATCTATCATCTCTTCTTCTTCTTCTGAATATCTATCATCTCAAATATCTCCTTAACCTATTAAAACTTTTAGCCATGGTTAAGCCATTTAATGAAAAATTCAAATAGCATTCTATTGTATAAAAAATTATAAAAAAAAATAAGGGCAGTTAATATGAAAAATGGATTATTAGACGATGAATATGGAAATTTATCACTGTTGATGATGGCTCTCTCTATTGATTTTAAAAGAATTCTTTACGAGAGCAGTTTGGCTTCATGTTGTTATTATTATTACTATTATTACCGCTATTAATTTCTTTATTTTTCAAAATTTTCATTCATTTTTTATCTAATTTTCTTAATGCTTTAACAGTCGATTCATTTGATGCCCAAAATTATTATTTCTTTGTTTAGTTTTTAGTTTTAAAAAATATATGCTGATACGTTTACAAAATATAAAAATACAAATTAATTAGTTTTAATTAAATACAAAATTAAATTTTATGGACTCATGTTGAAATATTATAAAAATCTGCTGTAAAAATTTTTTATATTTTTATAGTGCTGTTAACTAAAAAATGTAAAAATGTTTTGCCAGTCAAAAGAGTTGCCACACCTTACAGGCACACATACATAACTACATGTCATTAGTTTTTGTCGTGGCTTGAATTTTTTTTGCCCGAGGCCTTTTATTAAATAAAAAATAAACTTGATTCATCAGAATTTTTTAAATGTACAGCTGCCAATCAAACGTACATCGTTGATGTTATTTGAAAAGGAAAAAAAAATCGGTTAAAGATTTTGACACGAAAAAAATAGCGACGCAAATAATAATGCTACTAATTGAAGTAATAGTAGCAGCCACAGTAACTGCAGCAGTTCTAGTTGTAGTAGAATTAAACGTAGTAGTAGTAGCAGTAGTAGTAAGTAGTATTCAAACGGCATTTCAATCAGCACACCATAAAACCCGCGCCGAGCCACTATTTTATAAAGGCAACGATTTAATGAACGAACGACTGAGTAAATAAATGAATGGATAAACATCAAACGAACGAATGAAAGAATATAGTGATAAATAAACGGATACATGAGTGAATGAATGAATGAATGACCAATTGTGTGTTTCCACCATCGCGATTACTTAAACATCAGCTCTCGACATTATTCACATTAGATTACGATGACGTATCACCTACTTTATATTACGTCACATTTTCAATAATTTCCAATTTATTCTGGATCACTTTCAATCGTTTATACTGCAAAATAAGTCTTCCTGGTTCATCTTCCAGGAGCTGCGTTACTGTAACATATTGCAGTCATTAATTTGCCAACGCCTTGTTAATGTTTTACATTTAAAATGAGGATGATGTCTTCCTACTTGAGTATGCTGGCATGATTCTTTGTTCGCGTGGATGTATGCGTGTATAAATGTGTATGTATGTGTATGTATATGTGTGTATGTATGTATGTATGTTAAATACATGTTATTTATAGATGTTTGTGATTATTATGATAGTTAAGTTATAAAAGTATTTCACGACGAGACAGCAAATTTAAAGATATAAAGCAGCTCATTATAAGATAACATAACGTATAAATAATCAGAGCATATAATACTTTGTAATAAGAATGAGGTGACGTACGTTACGCTAGTTAGAAGAAGTTAGACAACTAGTTAAGCTTCAGGGGACAAGGTTTCCTAGTATATAACAGGCAAGCACATAAGTTAAAGAGAGGTGAGTTGAGAGTTATCTTAATTAGAGTTATCTCTTTAGCATGCTTAAACCTCTTGAACACTCTTTGATAATCTTTACATTATTTTTATTAGCTAATTTCAAAATAATAATCATCATAGTCACCATCATTATCACCATTGCCACTATTTTCGATGTAATGATGACCTGATGATCGTCTTCATCGTCATCAACATCGTCACGTCACAGACATCATCGTCGTCTTCATCATCGTCGTCATGGTCGTCTTCATCATCGTCATCCGTTGTATCGAGTATCAAAGTTAAACAAGGTTGCAATATAAAGCATTAATAAAAAATCTGATTAAAACTCGCTGGACATCGGCAATTAAATTGATCCGGAGGATGAAATGATGCGTCAAGGTCATCAGCGGCATCATTCTGACGTCATCGTCCACGTCATCATCATCATTACCATCACTGACATCATCCTCATTTATGTTGTTAAGCATTGTTGTCATGCACGCTATGAACTGCATCGTTTTCGTAATCTGTATCATCATTAACACCATCATCATATCATCATCATTAACACCATCATATCATCATCATTGACACCATCATATCATCATCACTGTTATCACCAATTGTCAGCACAACTCTGCCATGCCACTCATCTCACAATGTCACCATCATCATTTTATGTTTTCCATCGCTATCAATTTATTTTCAGTAAACTGAAAAATAAATATTTTAATGTATAGTTTTTGATATTAACATTGCCATTTGAACATTCAATATAGCTAAACAATGACACATAACTTAAGTTGGATTTTTAAAATTTTATAAGATTTTTCTTGCGTTTGAACCAGGATATGGCGAATTGTTATGAGATTATCAAGAAATACGGCAGTCTTACCACGTGAGCAACAATTTGACCTAGATAAGTGATCAATGCAATGAGCGTTACTATCATAACGTTTATACATTTTACAAAAAACTGCAATGTTGTTAATATAAAATAATATTCTTAATAAGACTTTTATAAAATTGTTTCGCGTAACCAGCGATTGTACTGTTATTAACTACATTTTGATTCATTTTGGTAATAGTGATGGTGTATTTTAATACAATTATAATACAAAAATATTGACAAAAACGAGTTAAATTGAATGATAATAACAATATTGGCACATTTTGTCATTAATTATAACAAATAATCGGCAAACATACTTGTGAAATTGTTGGACTTTCTTGGGTTCGATCCGCCACAGAACTTGCTGAACATGTTGAGTCGGTTGACGTGGGTTCGAATCCTGGCTGTGGCCACGTGTTCATCGTAGCAGGAATCCATCAGACGCTGGTAGCATGATTCCGTTAGCTCCCACTGCCTACAAATTTGCGTTTGAATGTTTTTATAAGTTTCAATTTATTCATTGATTTTCAAGTAATTTAATAATGCTTAAATGCTTAAAGATTTGTTTGATAACTTTAGTTAGTTGTTAGCAGTTCGTTTTCTAATGTTTTAAAGTTACTTAAACTAGTTTCGAATTACTATCGATAGTAACGTTTGGAGAAGTAACAGCAGCAGCAGCAGTAATAGTAGTACTACAACTACATTTCGTTATCAGTAGTAAGAAGAAGTATGCTATATGAAATTGCAATTATGAGGTTTGTTTGATGAGCACATATGAGGCAATGCATAATAATTTCTGCTGCTATCACTGCACTCGACTGTGACAATCGTCAGCGAACATGCACGTTCAATGAAGGAAGTTAGTCATTCCCCAATGTCTCAATCGTCATCATCATCGTCATCATCATCGTCATCACCACTTTTCTCTTTCTCCTCCTCCTTATCATCAACATCAGCCTCGTCGTCGTCTTAGGTATCATCAATATCACCTCATTCCTATTGTCAAAGTCGTTGTAATCATCATCTTCATAATCATCATCATCGTCGTTGTCGTCATCATCATCATAATCATCATCATCGTCGTCATCATCATCATCATCATAGTCATCATAGTTGTTAACATTGTAATCACGTAGAGGACAATCATTTCATTATTGTTGTTATCAATCTCATTTGAATGTTGAATCATCACACAAATCCAATTTGTTACCATTTTGTTCGTCGTCTCGTGTCTCGTCCCTAGTTCCACAACTTTTGAAGTTTCTACTTTCGCATTTTCTTTCATAATAACATCCCCTTACATCTAGAATGATTCCAGAAAATTCCTTTGAATGTGTTCGACTTAATATGCCTGCTGCAATTTAAACACGATCAATTAATTTCACAATTTTTCTGATTAAATGAATGAACCTATGATAAATTATGATAGGTGTATGTGATATGCAATACAATATGTGTATTTATATTTTCATTTGATAGTTCACAATTATAACTATTGGATAGTTTGATGTACGTTACGTGTGAACTTTAGAACTTTGTGTAAATATTCCGATAATTTTTGAGATGAAAATGACTGACAACTGAAAAGAATGACGAAACCTCAGTGGTGTGTAGTTATTAACTACAAATAGTTAACTACTAGTTAATAACTACTTGCTAGTAGTTAAGCTGTAGTTAATAACTATTTTTTTCAAAGTAGTTATTAACTAGTAGTTAACTATTTTTTTAGTAGTTAATAACTACAGTAGTTAACTATTTTACATAACTACTTATAATAATAAGCTAATATTTGATCGCCCCTATTTGTGTGCATGCATTGTTGTGTTACTGTTGAAAACAGACATGGTCATCTAATATGCATTTGCTATGCATGACTAATCATATCACATGCTGGATAACAAATGATTGTATACAACAATGAGCAAAACATATATAAAACATATATACAATATATCATATATATTTATATATATAACATATTAACAAGAGGCAGCAAGTGGTGATTTTTTGTTCAGGGTGAGGGGTCCTCCAGGAAGATGGAAGATCATGAAATTACCGATGGTCAAGAAATGAATATGAATCCTGCTAGTGGTAGAGCGATGAATTGGTGTGATGCGGTGTCTTATGATGTTTGTGTTGCTTCTGATGTCGTTGATATGGATGATGCAGATGAGGATGAATCTATGCCAATTGTTTTGGATGTTGATGGATCATGTGTGTTGAACAATTTTGATGATGTGGATGCTATTGTAAATTGTGAATACTATATGCCAAATAACATTAGTCATTATTTTGTTTTCTGTGAACTTATCGATTTTTTAAATGTTTCAGCTAACAATAACTCTAATTTATTTTTACTGCATATAAATGTCAGAAGTTTGACTGCGCATGCTGATGATTTGGCACTGTTGATTAATGGTTTTCAATTATATGTTAATATCCCTCAAATTGTTGCTTTAAGTGAAACATGGCTAAATGATGACACTAACTATGGCCCTATACTATCGTATTTTCCATGCCATAGTCTAGTTGCGAAAAATAGGGTGGGTAAAAGGGGTGGGGGTACTGGTTTTTTAATTGATAAAAACTTAGCGTACGAAAATTTAAATTGTAATTTTTCTCTCAGTTCCGACCTGTTTGAATGGGTCGGAATTAAATTTGCCTCTGACAATAAAAAAAATATAATCATTTGTATTTATAGGCCACCAAATTATAAATTGGATAATTTCTTATCTAAAATGCAGGAATTTTTATATGAACTTTTAAAAGACGATGTCAGTAGTGATGTTTTTATACTTGGGGATTTTAACATTGATTTGGCTGTAAAAAACCAGGCATCATTATCGTTTTTAAATCTTATGGCTCAATTTAATTTGCATCCAATTATCAACCAACCGACTAGAATAACATCAAGCCATTCGTCAACGATCGATAATGTTTTTACTAATTATGGCATCGGCGGCTGCCCTAAAGAAATTCTATACAGCGATGTTTCTGACCATTTACCTATTTTTCTTTGCATACCATTGAATGCTAAGGCTGTCGGTGGCAAAAACCCTTACATTAAAACCCGTTTGATTAATTCTGAGAACCTAAAAAAAGCAAATTGTTTATTACAGAATATCCAGTGGAACATGTCTGATTACGGGTCCGATTTTGAATCAAATTTTAAGAAATTCCTAAAGACTTATTTAAACTGCATCAATCTAGCTTTGCCATTGGTGAATAAAAAAAATCGCTTCCGAAGGCCATGGATGAATATCGATCTTTATAATCTTTCCTTGTATAAAAATGTTCTTTACAAAAGGCATCTACACAATCCATCCCCTGCAAATAAAAATGCATATAATAAGGTTAAAAATAAATTTATAAATGTCAAAAGATTCACGGAAAAAAAATATTTTGAAAATAAATTAAAAAATCAACCTGGAACAAAACACAGATGGAGGATAATTAATGAAATTTTGGGGTCAAAAAAATCATGCAATAAATTGTTCTCAAATGATGCCAGTGAAACTGCTAAATTGAGCACCGTTACAGGGTTGAATAAATTTTTTGTTGAGATAGGTAAAAATATCAATAAAATTTTAGGCGATGGTCAGTTGATTTCAAATGTCGGTCCATATGTGGTTTCTAATAACCCAATATT